AAAAAAAAAAAAAAAAAAAAAAAAAAAAAAAAAAAAAAAAAAAAAAAAAAAAAAAAAAAAAAAAAAAAAGAAAGAAAAGAAAAAATTATTAAAACATACTATAAATAAGTTGCGAACCATGGCTAGAAATTTTTCGGATTAAACCTTTATCTTCCAATTCACGAATTGCAACTCTTGCAAGAGAACCATTGACGTGAAGCCTATCAACTAATACTGAAGGAGTTATAAGTTTATAGGAAGGTACATCTTTAAATAATTTATCGTAGGTGGCTTTTTCAAGAACAACAGCATTATTGGCTTTTTCTTTGACTTTTCCTTTAGACCATTTCTATTTATATAATTTATATAGAAATTCGTCAAATTAGATGAATTAGATGAATTATATATATTATTATTATTATTAAAAATAAAAATCTATTGATGAAAAACAAAATTTTGATTGAATAAGTACCTTTTTCTTAGTTTTTCCTCCACTGGAGGAAGTTTTTACAGCTTTTTCCTTAGCCTATGTTACAAATAAAAACAGACAAATCATTAATAAAAGATGGATCTCTCATCCCGAAATTTTATGGAATTTTATGAAATTTTATTATATTTTGATATCCATATTCAATAGATTTCCAATTAAAAAATTGAATAAAGGCATAAATTATCGCTTTATTTTGTTAATTCTATTTACTAATCTATGAATTATTAAAAGTTGATAAGTGACTTACCATGTTTCCCGATGTATGAAAAAAAAAAGAGGAGATTGCGCTTTATTATTATTTTGATGTAACTGTTAACTATTGTCTCGTGATATCAGATTCATATATAGATAAAAGTCAGATCATTTTAAAAAATTGTCAGTTAAATCACATAATAGTTAAATCACAAACATAATGGTAGACCTTACTCCCGAATTTCGAAGATTGATTAATGAATTTTCGATAACAGATAAGAGTAATAAAAGAAGAAACAATATCCTTCCACCAACGAAAAAGAATGTAAAACAAATACAAGATGAATTTTTGAGAGAAGCCTATCGAATAGTAAGTATATGTGTATATGTGTATAGTAATATTTTCTCGAAAGCATTCCTGAATAACTTTTAATTTTCATAATTTTCATTAGGCTTCACATATAAGCAATTTAAAGAGTTTTCTTATTTCTTTTCGAAAAGCTTACCTAAATATAACGCGACAAAGTCCAACTAGTTCTAATCTTTCCTCTTCAAATCGAGATTATTTTGAACAAGGGTTATCCTCTAAAGTTGCAACTTTAACAGATAAACAACGTGATGAGATTGATGTACAGGCTAAAACTATGATCCAACAATGCTTAGATAGGATAAAAAAATTGGAAGAAGCTGAACAAGGTTATTGTAATATGATATGTTTTCGAAGGTATTTTTTGTTAAAATTTATTATTTGAAAAAATTGACATTATTTATTATAATTCTTTATGGTCAGTACGACAAAATTCAATTATGAATAATACATGGACAAAAATTTTTTCATCTACGTTTTCTTATGAAGAACGCGATGTTTTAGCCGCAATTCGAAGTAGTATCACATGGTACTTGAATAAAAGATTAACTGAAGTATCGGAAATACAAAAAAATCAACAAGAAGCTAGGATTTTGAAGGAAGTTGAAAGAAGAGAAAGGTGAGATCATTTCATTTAATCGTTATTAATTAAAAAATTACTTACGATTTATTAACTTAATTCTATTTGATTAGTACACTTTATAAAACAGTTAATCCTCATCATTCACGAAAATCATCATCATCTATTCAAAGTATGATAACAGAAGAAAAAGAATCATCATCAAAAAACGAAGACAATATAATTGATGATTATGATCTTGATCAACATTTATCTGCAGAACAGAAAATGATGTTGGAAATTGAGAATGAAACTATGATGAAAGAATTGGCAACTACTTTGGAACAAGTAAAGTAAGATATTTAATTATACCTCCTTAATTAATTTAATTTAATGAATGAATTTTAATTTAATGAATGAATTTTAATTTAATGAATGAATTTTAATTTAATGAATGAATT